AAAAGAAGATCCTACTTTTTGTGAATATTTAATGCGAATTGGAAATGGCCAAGAAATAACTAACAACAACAACAAAATTGAAATTCCGCGGAATTTTATCATTCCTTATACAAATGAAATAGAATCTCTAAATCAATTATGTAGACAAACTTATCCTAATATAAGGACATTCTTCTCAGACCTATCTTCTATAACTTCCCGAGTTATTTTAACAACAAAAAATGACTTTGTTAACGAAATTAATGATATGCTTATACATCAACTTCCTAATTAAGCTAAAATTTATACTGGAATTGATGAAACTCTAGAACCAGGTGATCAATGTCAATTTGAGGATTTCTTACACACCTTAAATCCTACTAATTTACCCCCGTACAAATTGACTTTGAAAAAAGACTGTCCAGTTATATTATTGCGAAACTTAAATCCTTCTGAGGGATTATGTAATGGAACACGATTAATATGTCATAATGTTAACAAACATGTTATAAGTGCTACTATTGCCAGTGGTGACTTTAAAAACACACATGTATTTATTCCGAGAATACCAATATTAGCATCAGCAGATGAAAAATTACCTATTGCTTTTAAAAGAACGCAATTTCCAATTCGATTATGTTTTGCAATGACAATAAACAAAGCTCAGGGTCAAACATTAGATTTTGTAGGAATTTATTTACGCGAACCAGTTTTCTCGCACGGTCAACTTTATGTCGCTTTATCCAGAGTTAAAACTTCCAAAAATGTCAAAATACTAATACGTCCGCCTACAGTTGAAGATACAAATGATCATTGTACGTATAATATAGTATATGAAGAAATCATTCAAAAAGCATTCACCTGAAATCCTAACTTCTCTATCCTTCATAAGGTCAGTAAAGCTTATACCTGATTCAAAAGCCTTCAATTGTTTTTAAAAAGGTGTTCGCCAAAATATACTCGCCCAACTAAAATGAATACTTCATTCACTTATTTTTAATTTGCAGGTACAACTCAACTCTAAAATTGTATATGTGTTATGCCTTCAGCCATCTGCCAATTTATTGTGTTTTCCATGTGAGAATTGGGAAAAGTTAATAGGAAGAAAGACAACTAACACGCAGGTTAGTACTATATCATATCTGATTATGCTGCTTTACTTGTGCAGATACAATTCAATCTTCTATCTTGTTGCTAAAGGCTTTCCAATCTGCAAGGAGAGATTCATGTTAGTCTTTTGACCTCTATTTGAAAGGCTCATTACTTCATTATTACACTTCTTCGAATTGAATTAGAATAGATAGTCTTAGGTGATTCGAAGGTCGATGACTTGGTAAAGATTCGTTCAACTATGTCTAGAAACACGTCAAAAATAATGAATATTCAATGGCTGCTTTAAAGCCTCAATTGTATACTTTCTTCTATCTGGATCTTTTGATTCACATTCTTCAAATAAATATGCGATTTGTAAAAATAATAAAATCCATACACCTATGAGAAATTTACACTGACTATACTGTATAGCCAACACTCTTCATGATTTTGTAATTTGATTGTTATAGAGCATCCTGAGTTTTTTTAAGGTTGTTTATATATGTTGTCTTCATGGATAGCTTAACATGATCTTAGAATACTGTACTGCCATCACTTTCTATGATTTTGAAATTTTATTACAAGACACTGTAGTGTTATGGCTCTCTGTGATTTTGAAATATGATTATTTTAGACCAATATAAGCTTTTTCTTTGAGGTTTTTCATCTGTATTATATTTCTGGACAATTGATGTCATTGTTTGGGCTACTGCAGTTTCATTGCCCCCTATGACGTCCCCATGGTACATTGGTTAGTGACGATGTTGGGGTGTAAAATCAGAACGTCACTAATTTTGAATCCAATAGAATCTGTTTCACAGAGACAACACAAACATTGACACTATGGAGCAGAATTCCAACAATGATCCTACTTGACAAAGAAAGAGTTTAAAAAAAGGGCTATCAGAAAAGGAACATCAAGCAAAGTGATTTGTAGCTGTATGTATTGTACAACACAATTACATATACCGTATCCTCAAAACACTCATTTAAAGCAACCTCTTTCAACTCTAAAATTGCATCTGTCTACTGCAACTCAGATCTTCTCAAAATTTAAACTGGTAAGTTATTCCACCGTCTTTTCTGCGTTTTTGTTTCTTCTCTCTTTATTTCCACTGTATTTTATTTTGGGAGTTTTGTTAAACATTGTTTATACAAGTTTATTTAAGGAAATATATCATTTCTCATTCACATGCAAAACAAGGTAACATGTGGACTCTTAACTAGGACAATTTTGTCTATATTTGGGACAACTGTACTGCTGATGGTTGACATACTGAGTGAAGAGACAAGCAAACGTTGAGCTCAAAGGAATGAACTTAAAAATACATCTATATCGCAGTTGTTGCAAAGTTTTTTCATCAGGCCAAACTTGGTGAGACTGAATGATGTAAGTGTGTGCCATCTCTAGCCCATACGTTATATCAATCCTTGCACCAAGAGAGGGTAAACGAGAAACCCCACTCTACGAACCTAATCCACATTGATCTTTAGCTTATTCACTGTTAGTGAAATAGATAATGTATATGAAATAGCTCTCATTATAGATCCTTTTTCAAGAGTTGAACACATTATGAGGAAAAATTCATTCTCCTCTTTCCCTCTGTTGGCTGTTGTATGATTATAGTTTGTTTGGAGAATATGTGATGATGTTGCCCAATGGTGTTCTCTTCGCTGTTGACAATATTGGTCTCCTTTTTTATACTCGATTTTATTCTTTGTTTCTTCTCAGATGATTGGAAGATTTACTATATATTTTTCACTTTAACAGTTTTAAAAAACATTTTCTATATATATTTCTGTTCTGGATTCTTTTTCGTTTTGCCATTCTGTCCTCATAGTTGTCCCTGTTACATCATTTTGACAGCTCACATGAATCTGTTCTCTGTTTTTCTTGTATCATGTAGTATCTGGGGCCTGATACAACTCCTATACCTCAAGTTCCCCCGTCGGGCCCTGGAAGAGTACCTGGTCAAGTCCGCTCCCCTGTCAATATAGGCCCTGTTGCTGGACGTGTTAGAGGTGATTGGAGATCACCAGGAATGTGGGGGAGGTGCTACGTCTGGACGTAACTTTGGGATTGGGCTACAATTCACTCTTCCTCACACAAGTATGTTTCCCTAAAAGTCCTCATTTTGGGAACGTCCAATGCCAAAGTCACTGAATGGGTAAGTCTCCAAGGATATTATTTTGCTTAGCCTATTCTCTCTCTCTCTTGAACCTTATTCTCTACATTTTTCAAGTTTCTCCAAATTTCCTTTGTTATCTTTGTGGTCTTTCTTGCCTTCTTTCAACAAATTATCCTTTTTGATTCTAATTTCTTATGGTTTTCGCTCGCGGTTTGAAATTCTGGGTAAGTTTTTCATCCAATTGATTTTTGTTTTATTCACAAGTTTTTGCTAGATTTACATGTATCACATACTTTTATTTGATCTATACATGCATGGCTGTTTTTGACAAGTCAAAAGAGGGAAATCATATTTGTAACTTCTAAAAATCCACTGATTTTGTTTATTTGTTTTCATTTCTTACACAACAATTGTTCCGTGATCTTCATGTGTTACTGCATATTACTTTAGTTCAATATTTTCAAGTAGAAACTTATTGAAGAATTTGAAATATGAAGATAGTCGAAGGAGTGAAGCCACGGTTGCAATTATCGAAGAATCGTATCTCGCGTGTAAGTATAATCTGAACCATGATTCGAACATTGAATTGTATATGATATGCTACTGACAAGTTTAAACATAAATTTGTGTTAAAGTTAATAGTTGATGGTAATCTTTAGTATAATAAATATGCTATTTTCACACAATTGAGGAAATAGGAAACTTTTTAAAGCTGACGTTGTGATATACTAATACTTGTGTGAATCAAAGCCAACACTGTTAGTGGGAATTGCTTTGTTTAAAGCCAACAAGCTAGGACGAGCACAATATCAAAATTTTGTACAAAAAGCAACTAAAATTCATTTGGGATTAATGTTATCTGCTGGGTTTTCTTTCTTTTCAGTCTCAACAGCAGACCATTTTTCATCTGATGCAACAATATATGAAAAGGATCAATATGATCAATGAAGTTAGTAGGCCTAATTTAAGAGACGCGTTCTCTTTATTATATTATTTTCAGTGCTTACTTATTCGTACTTCGAGTTCATTTCAGATTTGAAAATAGTTTTGATGTTGCTTTTGTCAAAATAATGCTGCAATGGTTGCATTCATCAGCAGTTTTAAGTTAACCTTTAGGACTGAATAATTTGTTATTTTATTTGCGTTATCGTTTTTCCTCTTTGTAGATTATCAAACATCTTTCGAGATGTAAGAGTGATAGAACAAATCTTTTTTCGAGATGTAAGAGTGATAGAACAAATCTTTGCTCAAGCATATCCATTTAGAACGGACTTTTTCTCACATGGAAGGGCACTAGAATCATTTATTAGTACGGCATAAATCTGATAGCCTACTCTATTCTCTCAGTCTATTTTTTTTTTTTTGATGACAAGGAAAACCCGCAGCCGCTACCCTTTGGGTGCGCACAGGGTAAAACCCCCGCTCCTATGCAATAGCTCGCAAACCACATAGGAGAGGTAACCCGCACTAGGCAAGCCTGGTGCGACGAGCTCGACCCAGAAGGCAAACCCCTTGCTTTCGCTGGCAAGGGGTTTCGAACTTGAGACCTCCAACATGGAAGTCCCAAGCTCAAACCACTGGGCCACCATAGATTCAATGGATCAGACAACTAATAGATTTCAAATTCCTATGAATTTAAAATAGCTCAAGAGTAACAAAGATGATGGATGAAATTGTCTTCAATAGAGCAGTATCCATGAAAATCAAACAAACTACCTACTCAAATTCTCCTCAAGGTGTGTTATTTAATAATCTTTCTGGTACAATGTAAATGTATATTATTCTGATTCTAATCTTTGATCTGTGCACTTTACGATAATTTGCAGGAACAAGTACTGATGTGTGCACTAAAAAGCTCACATGTACAAAGATCTGAAGAGTATTGAATAGTCCAGAAGTTTATGTATAATATTTCAAAAGCAAAGAATATTCCTAATAACTTCTTGAGCGTCCTCTTTTTTCCCCTTGAAAGTGTCATTTATAATTGAATGAATAATTTTTACAAACAGTTTATTAGTATTATTTATACAAAACAAAATTTCTATGTTGTAAACTCCTTATGATCCAGTAACTTGTCTGAACAAAATGAAAAACAAAAAATGAAGTGTTATATGGTAAGGTAGAGCTAAAAAGAAGAGATTTGGATGCTCCAAAACATCAGAGCATCAATGGCTATTCCACAATGCACTTTTATGCAAGTTGGAGCTTAATATACTTAAACTAAATAATTCAATTAACCAGCTAAACTACGTAATTAAAGAAGAGTCTAACTGTAATTGGTATGTTCCCTTCTAAGGCACAATGCTTCAGGTGACGTGATGCGCTACGTTCATTCTCAGTACTGATGATTTCCGTTAATTCAAATTGATGAAGTAGAGAAATCATGAAATATTGCATAGAAAGAACACCTTTTGCTCAAATAATAGTCAAGCATTTTTCACAGAATTACATTACACACAACAAAAACATGAAACACCTTCTAGGTTTTCCTCCATCACCGTCTCTCCATATTTGAACTCTAGTTACTAGCAACATTCCAAGACTTCTCAGTCTATTTCATAAGGAACACTTATGATGGTGAAAAATGTACTTTTTTTTATGAAAAAGATCAAGCATAAGGGTCACGTTGTACTCATCCTAATTATCGTAAAATATTCGAACCTGATGATATGCCACTCCAAACTCAAGACTCAGACCAAACGTTCAGATAACAGCTTGGTCACCCAAACCACAAAAAATAAACAAAACAAAACAAACAAAACTTCTACTACCCTATTCTTTTTAACAAAAATAATTTAACATTGACCATAACAGAAATCAACAACACAAAAATAAAATAATTTTATAAAGCACAAAAAGAAAATGTAACAGAAAAACATTAACCTGGTAGCTCTGCTTATTGCTCTTTCTTCCTCCTCCATCTTCTCTCCCAAAACCATGCAATGTATTCTTCAACGTGATTCAATCAAAAATTAAAACTTTTGTTCTTCAATCCAAAAAGATATAATCCAATATAAAAAATTATTTATCTGTGGTCCACACCTGGTAAACCCCTATCGTTTATGGTATCTGCCATATCGATGAATGGAACAACCAATAATGTTCCTACACCACCGTACTCAGCATGTAAAAACTCGTTGGGGATCTGTTCAAGAAATTATTTGAACCAATTTATTTACATTTCAGCATACTCAGCTCAAGGAAGATACAGCTTCAAGCAATAAATACTAAACCATGTAATATAGCCCCAAACAAGACTTTCACTGCTTTGTCAATTTGTTCCTGAGCAAGTATTTCATCTAGAAAGAATTGGAAATCATATAGAGTATATCAATCAATCAACTCAGACTCAATCCCAAGTTAGTTTGCGCTATGTGAATCCTCTATATTTATTCCGCTCTATTAAGGTCCAAATGGTGGCAATAAAACAGGACAATGAAGTATTTGAAAAAAGTACAGGTAATTGCAGTATCAATTGCAAAGCATGACTACCAAGAGGTCCTAGATTTCCTTCATTAAAATATCCATTGCCTTTAAGCTACTCCTATTACAAGGGTGATTATTGATAAATACTGTGATTATCTAACAGCAAAAGATAAACACATTGATTGATAGTGGATTCTTGCGGAGTGATCACACTATTATGTCTCATCTAAAGAATAGGCAATTTTTCGACCACACTGCAGGATTCACACCTCACAAGAGATTTAAAAGAAAAATGTTAGTACTGTGATTAGCTTAAACACATCAACTCCAACACAAAACATGAGATTTTCTCTCAGATGCTCAACAAGAGCTCCCTCACCTATCACAGACCCCCTATTATAGTTCACAAGTATCACTTCTAACAAGTTTCAGTGGAGTAACATCAAGACATCGCACTTAGATAAATCAGAAAGCACATTAGATAATCTTGCAACTAAAATTACCTTCTTCATCCACCCAAACTGTTTTTTGTTTACAAGGTGATACATTGTTTTATCAAGGATTGCATTTAAACTTATCTACAAAAGCTTTAAGAACTTGAATGAGAAATCCAGTAGTACTATGTATACAGATAAATGAATAAGAAATTCAATAGTGCACTTTCGGTGTAGATAATAGCAATATCAGCCTCTTGGAGCACTTCATCAATACATTTATCTGTTTTTCATGTCACAAGATATTTACCACTGGCTTTCAAAAACTGACCATAGGTTGCAAAGGCGAGAAAAAAATAAGTACATATGATGCTTACAGTTTTAACTGATTGACCTAAAAACACAATAACCTGTCATCAATTGTAGTTATGGACCAAAAATCTTGTTGTATATTTGAGTAGTACGGTTCTGCTTAAAAGTAACTGTGAAACAAAACCATAAACTACCTGATGGCAGTCGTAGTAGCAACAAATTTGGAAGACGTGATTCTGTAATTCCTTGAGGTAGCACCACAATTGAAAGGACTGGTGAAGATGCACCAGCAAATGGAGTTGATTAGGAGAACTGAAGGAATTATACATAAAAAATCAAATGAAAATCTCTCCAATTCGCAACGGGCTCGAGCCCTAGCCGGTGGAGCCGACCATTTGATTTTCTCAGAAAATGATGAAAATTCAAATTAAAATAGAATTAACAGAAATTAATGTGAAATATATACAAAAAATTCATGCATACATACACAGCTAGCATGATCTATCGGAGGAGTGTAAAAGGAAAGAAAGAGAGATGAAAATATATAACAAAGAGACGGCATGAGATAAAAAGAGTAGAAAGAGATGAGTTCTGTTACCGGGAAATAGTGGCCGGCGATGTTACAGCGGCGACGACAACAAGACCGGATGACTTTGCCGGTGGCGGAGAGAGATTTTCCAAAATTTTCAAACCTAATTGGTGATTTAGATAGAAAGGTGATAGATAATTAGTGTGGGAATTTTTTTTTAAAATGGGGATCACGAAAATTGCCTTGAATTAGTGTCTTTTATGGTCGTTCCTTTTACTTAACAGCATAAAGGTACCTTTTCACGGCGAATATATGGATGTGCTGGTAATGTTTCAATACAAATAATGTATTAGTGGCAATTAGGTTATTGCCACTAAATAATTGCCACTAAAAGCTCTTCTTTTATTGTAGTGATATTTCAGGAATGGTTGACTTGACTGATTAGTCTCACAGGCATTAGCAATTACCTGAAATAATTGATAAGACAAAAGCCTCAATTTTCATAACGTTAGTGTGCTCTAATCTATGTAAAAATAATAATTTCTTTCGCTGTAAAAGCAAATACTCTCCGATCAAATATTAAAAGCTTCTTTTATTGTAGTGATAAATTACCTAAAATAATTGATAAGACAAAAGCCTCAAATTTCATAACGTTAGTGTGCTCCAGTCTACGTAAAAATAATAATTTCTTTCACTGTAAAGCAAATACTCTTCAACCGAATTCACATTGACAAATTTCACTTTATTCACTGTAACAATTGAATTGATTTGAAGGCCGTGAGCCTTGTTAATGTTAACTATATTTTCCTTGACCAATTTACATCGAAAAATAAACCATAAAATCTTTTACAGTTCAAAAAAATGATAGATATCTAAGTTAAATTCATAATCACATTTTCGAATACTTTGAACAAAACTGATACTACAAAAAATACTAATAATTACATAACCAAACAAAGTCTTATATAGAAGAACCATATGAAAGAGCACTCCTACGCCTCTTAATATCTTACAAGAAAAAAAGAACTCACCTATCTGTTATGCCAAAGTAAACATCAAGAGGTTTTCCTGAATACCAAAATGGTGGAGGTCATATATAGGATATCAAACTGTCTTTTCATATTAGGCTAGTTTATTCAGTGAAATGCATAATTATTCAGCAAAGCAGAAACTCTTCTGATCATGACAACATAACACAGTGAGATTTTCTAAGATGTAGGTTTTTTTTCCGTCAGGTGTATACATAAGATTCGACTAATCCTAACTATTAATTATGTGTATCCATAGTGGAGATTAATACATCTTCGGAACTTGTTGAAGAAATAGAAGGCCTTTCTTTTTCTTAATTAGATTTAGAATGTGTGCTTTTCAGCAGCTGCAATGTCATTACGCCTATCTCTCTAAATGATACATTTCTTTTTTTATCGGATAAGTAATAAGAAACTCTACTTGAAGTACACCTTTCACTGGGAGTTTTGTCAAATATGTCTCGTAAATAAATAAAAGCAATGATAAACTCATCTAACGTCATTTCATAATATTAGATACAGAGGAGAATTATCAACAACATTGAGACCTTATTTAGATATCACAACCATCTATGAAATGCAAAATTAATCATAACTATTTGCACCGTTCATGAAAAATTTATTCCTTACCTAGCAATTTGTGTCTCGCGCAGCACTATCAAGGAGCTTCATTGCAGCCCTCTCATGTTTTTCCCCTTGAGCTCCAAATTTTTAATGTTCATTTGGAGACCTTTCAATCGCAAAATGTAAGAGCGATTAGATTCTTAGAAACCCAACTTAAAATTTTTGGTTAAAATGAAAAATAAAGTAAAAGAAATTTGCTAAGAGTTATACTTTACCAATGAAGAGATTTAACAGAGAATAAACCAAAGAGAGTAAAAAAGAAATAGATAAGCGAGAGGGCGAGAGGAACTTACAATTGAATTTTTCTGGAGAAAATCAATAGTCAAGAGTTCACATGATAAATTAATGAGAGCCAACTGAGACGCTTTGAATTTTAGTGTCATCTAAATTGAGATGATGTATCAGTAGTTAAATTTTGAGTCTGAATTTTGAAATTTACACTCCACCTGTAATAGAAACTAAAAATTAGAATTCAGTATAGTGAGATTTGATTGTCAACATCTATTTACTGCAAGATAATTGCATAATAGGAGTTCAGTATCATGAAAAATCAAGAGATAGCTTAGTGTAGAATGGAGATGGAATTGAAAGTGACGAAAGAAAATGATAAAGCGGATGGTAGAATGCACATTGAAATAAGATTTTGTATTTCTTGTTCCACCTTGTAAGCATTAGCGACAACAGACAACAACTGGTGTTCTACGCGTGGGTATAATGTGTCACACAGACTATTTATTGGAGAAAAAACATATATATGTATTCAATATCCAGAAAAATGGGCCCAAAAAAACCTAATGAAATAGACCCACATGATTTCATGGATTAAATCAAACATGTTGCATGCAAAAAAAATTCCCACATTTCAAATAGAAATTAAGTGGAGAAATTCATAAATACAAATCTGTTTATATCCCACTCCTAATAACATCCTTCAATTAGAAAACTATAGTACTCCATATTTACATTTCTATCCTAGAAAATTTTAAAAAAAAATCACTTCTAAGGGGAAGCTAGAAATCGAGTATCTATTTCTAAACATAGGCAAATCGAAAAAGTTCATGTAGAAAATTCAACAAGAAGTAATCCAAAATAACCCAATAATTTAACAAATACCTAAATGTGATTAAGATGACAAAAGGTTATGAATAGTAGACTTACAATTGACTCCAACGGGTAAAGTCGAAGATGTCACATGGCTAGTGTTAAATTAGATCTTCGGCCTAACTCACACCCCCAAAAGCTAGCTCAAAGGGAGGAGGATTGTCCAAGCCTTATAAAGAGTCCACCCATCTCATTAACCA